CAGTTTGTAAAATCTATTTGGCAGCAATGTGCAATATTGTAAGAAAAAAAAAACATATCTTTTCCTATCATTGGTTTTTTTTCATAGTAGACATTTGAGAAAGCAGAGTAGGCAGGCATCAAGTTTGACCTCTGTATAACCTCTGCTTTTACTATTTACATAAAGTATTTATTTATATTTATTGATATATCACATTTAGAAACATCCCATTTTTTTCACCTTTTAAGTTATTCCTTTGTAATTAATCCCAATATACAAGAGATCTCTAACATGGCATTCGTGGCATTCCAATACAGATGTGGATATTGCCCCCTTTTGCCTGAATGATCCTAACTCATTCACTGTTATCATTTCCTTTTGATTTAAAGGAGGTAAATGAAAAATAAATCTGCTGCAGTGCAATGCATCAGTATCAAATGTTACCAAGCTCCATGCAGGACATTTTTAGTAGATGTAGCTATAAACATATCTTAAATATGACAGATAAATAAGAGAAAAAGAAAAAAGAAAAAAGAAAGGCATTTTGAGAGAAAAGGTCTGCTCACAGTCATGCCTTAGTCACTTCCCATTTAGATTGTTGTAATAAAGCTCTGGAGCTGTCTTTGAAAAGGATTTGGAAGCTTCAGGTGGTACAAAATGCAGCACTGTGGCAAGTTACAGGTGCAGGTCATTTGGCACATGTGACAACACTGCTCTGGGAGCTGCAATGGCTTTAGTATGCTTCCAGGTGCAATTCAGGGTGCTGGTAATTACCTTTAAAACCTTTCATGGCTTCAGTCCAAGTTACTTAGTGGACTGTCTTTAGATCCAGCAGGAGAGCATGCTCTGAGTCCTGTCCACTAGAGAATTCCATGTACTGGGACCCAGGAAGGTGATTTTTTCTAGCATGGCAGTTGCCCTCTGGAATAGCATCCCTCCTGAGATTAAATTTATATTGCCCCTGCTGGGCTTTCATCAGTCATTTGAAAACATGGCTTTGCTTTCCATCCAGAGCAGAGGTGAGTTTCACCAGGTTCTGACCAGTTCTGGAGAACCAGAAGTGGAAATTTTGAGTAGTTCGGAGAACCGGTAGTAAAAATTCTGACTGGCCCCGTCCCCATCTATTCTCTGCCTCCCGAGTCCCAGCTGATCGGGAGGAAATGGGGATTTTGCAGTAACCTTCCCCTGGAGTGGGAAGGGAATGGAGTTTTTACAGTATCCTTCCCCTGTCACACCCACCAAGCCAAGCCATGCCCACAAACCCATGCCACGCCCACCAAGCCACACCCACAGAACCGGTAGTAGAAAAATTTGAAACCCACCACTGATCCAGAGGCCCTGGCAGTATTGGAGAGCCTGCCTTATGGCTGATTTGGATTAAGATATGAATGTGCTTGGCAGGTATTCTATGTCATTGATATTGTTCCCCCCTAAATTTATTAATTTTATCCCAATTTTATTTTGTTTGCAGTTGTTAGCCTTCTAGAGCCATGCATATGGGATGGGCAGCCATATAAATTTACTAAATAAATATTTATTACTCTTTGAATAGAAGCATCTAAAGGGTGGGAACATCTATGTAATATATCAGCAGCCCCTACCTTTTGGGCACCAGGAACCGGTTCCATGGAGGGCAATTTTTCTGCAGGCCTCTGTGTGTGTGTGGTTTTGCATGCTTCTCTGGATCCTGTGGAGTTGGGGGGGGGACTTTGCTCACTTGCACAGCCTGGTTCCAGGCAGGCTGCAGACCAGGGATTGGGATTGTACATATCAGCAAAACAACTTAAATTCCTGTCCCTGTTCCTAGCATATTTTTGTTGTCACTCAGCTGTGAGGGCCCAGGGTCTTCTGGGAAGGGGAAGCTGCCTCAGTTATCCTGACATATGGGGTGTGAAAATAGTTACTTAATTTCTGATATTGTTCATAATAATACTCATTATATCTATCCAAACCTAAAATCGAGACTTTATGTGTTTCTTCACTTGAACAGTTCTTGGTTTTTCATTTAAAATCTCAGTGTTGCTTACAATGTGAACTCAAAACAATACAAATTAAAGTCACTGCCAAGAAACCAAGAAGCAAACCAATAAAAGCAGCAGAAATTGAATTAAACAAACAAAATGAGTAACCAGACAGTTTTCTGAAAAGAAAATTCAACCAGGGGTATGTGCAGAGTGCTTTCAGTTGACTGTTAAGTCCTTACCGTAGCCAGTCCTTATTTTGTAAGGCAAGCATTTTCCAAATCAGAAAGCATATTTACTTAGTAGGCTTGAAGGCTCCCTTTTAAGAACAAAATAAACAGTAAAAAATTGAATGCTATATATTGAGTGGAATGTACCATATATTTCAGCTGATGTCTTAAGTCCCTTGACCATAGCTTGCTTGGAATGGAAATAAAATTGAAGTATCAGTTTGCATTGTGCCTTCTACACTGGGAAAGTAAGATGTATAATTGTATTATTTATTGTGCTGGAAAAAATACATGTTAATACAGAAGTCACTCCAGTGCATAGCTTATTAATCATGTGTGTGTGTGTGGGGGGGTTTGCATGGTTGTGGCCTTTTATGAAAACTTTTACCAAAGGCAGAGGAAAATTACACTTCAGCATTCAAGTCAATTGAGAGACAAAATTATTCCACATAAGTGCAAATTTTAATACTGCTGCCATGTTTTATACGTTGATATTACCCATTTGATAGGTTGGGCTGATTTCAGCCACAGGAAAGAAATCATAATGAGGACAATAAAAGAAGTCATTTTTCCCTTGGAAAAACTACTAATTCCAGTTGTGGAATGTCAAGCCATCATTTTTAAATGATGGGGGGGGGACCCACTATTCATTGATGATGACCAAAAATTATTTTCAGGCTCAGATACTTAAGCTTCAAATACTTGTAATGTTTATTCCAGATTTAAAGCTAACCAAAAACTTTTCTACTTTTGACAAATTTACTATGTTATTTATCTATTAAAGATCTCTTAAAGTTACCCTTTCTTTCTCAGCATTGCTAAGGGGCAGGTTCTCCAAGAAAAAATACAAGAGGAAGGAATTTATCTTGCAATGACCTACCGCTTTCAGTATTAGAGGATGACCAGCAGTAAAGTTACAGTAGTGATGGTGAACTATTGGGAGAGCTAAAAAATCGGGTTAAGGATAGGTCGGCAGGGAGAAAATCTGATCTATTATTACTGATCTATTACTATTAAGTCTACTAAGAGTTGACTTAATTGCACATAATCGGTCAATGAAGAAAGCAGATGGATTAGAAAAATTGTGTTTTCCTAAGGGCTATTGTGGATGTCATTTACCACATTTTCCAATATAAATAGTTGCTGACTAGTTGCTGGGGAAGAGTTAAACCACTTCCCTTCTTCTTTCTGACTCTCCTGTTATAATTGTTAGAGAAATTCAAATGAGAGGCAAAGACTTGGGCAAGGGCTTAGAGTTGCATAAAAAGGAAAAAAGGCCAAAGCTGGTCACAACTCCTCCCAGGCAGGTAGGGCAGCTGTTTGCCTTCAGATAAAGCATTTCAGCTGGAGAATTTCACTTCCATTGCCATTTAGCAACAGTGAGCAAGCATACTCAGTGTGCCTTGGGCTTTTATAGCATTTATCCTTTGCTGCTATAATAGTCTTCCTTACGCCTCTCCTATGTTCAGTATGAATCACCTTATTTCTCCTGGCCGGTGATTTATAACATTTTACAGTTCCAGCAGTCAGAGAAGGTGAAATTAAAGGCCTAAGCACGTTTTATGGCATTTTCATAGCGGCTTTTGTTCCAGCCGTCTAATATTTTAAATACAACAAAATTAAGGAAAGTAGAAGAACGGCAAATTCCTCTTCAAGGGAGATTTCATTCATCTCAAACAGCCAGCCGGTTACCGCCACCAGTAAAATTGAAGAGATTTTTTTTTTCTCAATGGCCGGCTCTTCTCCAGCTCAAGCCTTCCCGATCGATCCTTTGCTCATTTGCATAATGAATTCTTCCGAGGCAGCTATTGGCTGCCGCGAGCCGCGCTCGTGCGTGATGTCAGCACTCGCAGGGTATTGCTCGGGTTGTGGCGGGTAGTTGGAGCCTGTCAAAAATCTTCGCGCAGCGGCGGTCGCGGCCGAAGAGGGAGAAGAAGCGAGGCTGAATCGCCCAGCAAAACCCGCCTGTAGAGCGGCAAGAAGGGGAGGGGGGGGGAAGAGTCGCGCCTAGCTGGCCGAGACTCCTCGCTTATGGCTTGTGGCTCACCTAAAAGAGCTTCTCCGTCACCTGCTCCAAGCGAAGGAGAAAGCCCAGCGCAGAAGGAGAAGCAACACGGCTAAAGAAGTCACCCCGCTAGCCGGAGTTGGTTCCCGCTAAAACAAGGTCGCCAGAGGCCGCCTCAGACCACCTTCTCTTTGGGGGCTACCTTCGTTTCAGTCCCGCTAGTAGAAGCCCCGAGAGCGCCCGCTTCGCTGAGGACAGATACGGAGCCAAACGTGGAAAGGGGGCAGCCCGCGGCTTCCTGAGCCGGCTCGCCTGGAGACCAGAGGACGCCGGACGTTAAGGGACGATCCGATAAACGCCCCTCGCCCCTCTTTTCTACAACTCTCATTTCTGGGCAGGGGCTGGAAGATCCCGGAGGAAAAGCTTTAGCCTGCCCCCCCCCCCCCGTGGACCCGGCCAAAGGTTCTTTCCGAGGTGGAAAAAGGCCGAACGGGGTTGCTGGCTGCCCCTCTTCCCGAGCATCTGGCCAGCCGGCGTGCAGGAGTTCTTCGGTCCGCTGAAAGAGGCTGGGGCGAGATCGAAGCCAAGAGAGACCCCGCTTCCCTTCCGAGTCCGCTCCTTCCAAGGCAGAGCGCGTCTCGGGGAATAGGACGAGACCTTTAGACGCGCGGCTTGCGAAAGGGGTCCCGGAGTGGCTCTACCGGCGAACCTGGTTTAAAGGGAGGACTGAATTCGGGGGATCGCTGGGACAGGCTGGGGCGGGCGGAAGATCATTTTTTTTTGTCACCTAGCCGCCGCCCCCCCTTCCAGTAACCTCCTGATAACATGAAAGGCGCTGATTTCCCGCCGATCCTTCTGGCTCCTCTCCTTATCTTTGCCACGCAAGTGGGGACTGTGGATGCGGGCAGCCCCTTCTCGGGCTCTCGCTCTGGCGGCCAGCAGCCGCCCCGAGATGCCCCGAGTTTCTCCCGGCAGCAGAGAAAGAGCTTAGCGATGGATTTCATCGTGCCGTCGCTGTTCCGGACCTACCTGAGGGAGCTGGTGCTGGGCGACGCGGGCAGAGGCGAAGCCTTGGGCGGGTTCAAGGCGCACTGCAGCCTGGTGCTGGACTGCCCGCCGCTTTTGCGCGCCGCCAGCTCTTGGCAGCCGAGGAGCGGAGCCTCGGAGCCCGCCGGCCGCGCCAGAGCCCAGTCCAAGGTGCTGAAAGGCGGTGCGGTGCGAAAGCTGCGCCGCGCCAAGCAGCTGGTGCTGGAAGTGGGCGAAGCCAACCTAAGGGACGACTGTGCGTGGCGTTCCGAGGAAGGAGTCGTGGCGACGGCGAGCCGGCTCGAGTTTACCCTCACCGAGGAATTCAGCTGGTGGATCCGCTCCGGGGAAGGCAGGCTGAGAGTTCGGTTGATGCCCGAAAAGAAGGCATCGTTCTTGGGCAGGGAAGGCAGCTTATCAGCGGCCATCAGGGCATCCCGGCCCCGCCTATTTTTCCAGATGGCCACCAGAGGTGAGAGAATAGTTGGCGACTTCCGCAACCTAGATAAAGTCAGCTTCCTCGAGGTTTGGATAAGGGGGTTGCCTACTCTGTCTCTGAGGAAAGTTTGGGAAACGTAGCGGGAGTGAAAATAACAGAGTGGGATTTATCCTCTTTTATGTTAGGAGGATTTCTAGGGTGGATTTCTAAATCTCTGCTCTCATTTATCCCAGATAAAGCGAGCCTTTCCAAATTACTCTAGTTCTTGTAGTATTAATTCAGAAACATCCTTTGGAAAGAGTTTGTGATTTGCTGACATTTTCAAATAGAATCTATTTTTTTTATTTTAAAAAAAAATCCATTATACTTTTAATTTTCTGCATTCTACATAGTGATGCTTATCCTGAAAGAGAATTACATAATGAGTATGTAAACTAAATAAAAATTAATTTTCCCGTCCCAGTTCAGAGTGCTTAAATGCCTCTTCCTCTCTGGTATGTAGCTCTTAGGGGTTTGTTGGAGAGTAATGCACTGCAAGAAGTTAATGTGCTGATTAATGACTGCAATAAAGTTATTGTAGATCTTAACATGTCAAACAGTACACTATCAATAAACTTTTGTGTTGAGTTAATTGTAAAAAATTGACCACATATAATATTTCTTTCTTCTCTATCATGAAGGAGATTTTCTCCAAGAAGGAACAATAATCTGGAGAAATTCAGTGGAGTTTGGTGGGATTCCTGTCATGTAATTAAGACATGAATAATGTTACTTCTAAGTCAACCTTTGTAACACTCTGATGACCTTTAGATGTGGACTAATCCCCATGTTTCCCAGCCATCACCTATAGGCCATCTTACACATTTGGAGGACATAAGTCTGTTCTAGATCCTATGCAGTTTTGGCAGAAACATGCCACACTGAATTCAGTGAAGCTTATACCCAACTTACTGTCCATAATAAAAATAAATTATTTAAACAGAATTCTCATATAGAGACTGGTAAGGTCTTGAATGCATTTAGCCTGGAAAATGAGATGTGCAGGTTGAGAAAAAAAAAACTTCTTATTAACCTCCCCTTGAAAAAAATTCATTTTTTTAAAAAAATACCCAAGAACTATTTTAGACAATGACTCATTAGTAGCAAGTATCATTTCTTTTTAACTGAAATATAAAAGTTATTCATTCAGAATAATATAACTGAGATTCATAATTGCAAAAGCCACCCACTGATTAAATTAAAATTAAGATTTGTCATTGGTCATAAACTGTTCCCATTAATTAACCGATCATAATTAGTATCTTAATATTTTAGTGCAAATAGCTTAAACACATTGCCTACATCAGGAGATTTCTGTAGACTAATAGCCCATTTTTTTAAAAAAATTACAATATGGTTCACTGGAATAGACTTCAGTTTTCAAAACTGATATTATAAAATATTATATTTCAAATTTATGTAATTCTGTGAATTACAAACTAAACTGCTAAAAAAGTACAAGCACTGAGACATAACTAGACTTCATGTAGCATAGCCAGATTTCATTCCTCAGTCTACCATGGTGAGGTTTTTTAGAACCATACTATTCAATATTGTTTTTCCTTTCTACATATTGCCAGTGTTTTACCACCTCACCCCAAAGCATTTATATTACCTAATGCTAGGCTGTAAATTTGTTGTGGAGCATGTGATCTTCAGTAATTAGTATTAGGATGGGTACCTTTTGAGGCGTTTGATTAAGGAGAAGGAAACTCGTTGGATAAAGTTTTGCTGGCAAGAGTTAGAATTTACCTGCAATATACTAGCTTCCAATATACTAGCCATGCAACCTATGAATAAACTTAAATCATAGGGAATTGACCTTTCTGGATGGAACTTCACTCCTCTTTTAAGGAATTGACAAACCGTCTCATATAAAGATTCAGTCTCATTACACTTCAGCAATATTAGACTAATACAAACAACTATTAAACTGGGTATCTTCTTGCTGTAATTTTTTTAGATGGACTTCCTAATCTCCACTTCTTCAGCACTGATATTATCTGCATAAAAGTCCTTTTCCTCATCTATAATTTTATGTACTCCTTATAATATCCCATAGGTATATAAACTAGTCATTATAAAACAAACTCTGTTTCTATGAAAGTTCCAAAATAGAGTGCTAGAATCTTTATGTTTATAGCTGCTAATTTTTGTAAATATTTCAAAAGAAATCTAGTTTGAAATTATAGAGTGAAATCTGAAGCATTCAGATTCAATCTTATGTAGGGATGAACAGGTCAGAAGTTTAATATTACTGAAATTACTTGTAGCTGAAACTACACTTGGACAAAGAGAACTCCTACTCATGATTGGTGACCTCCAAGTAGTTTCCTTAATAATATGCCATTGATTCTCTGACCTCAATTCCAGGAACATCAAGAATAGGATTTTAAGAAAGTACAGTTCAGACTTGGACATTTTTCTCCTTATTACTTATAGCAGATATAAATAATATTCTGATTTTGGGTCATCCACTATTGGTCCTAAATAACAAACTATGGCTACATATGTATACATGTGTGTGAGTATATGTGTATCATTGTATATATTTCTATGTTTTCTATCACTATCATCCACAGCAAACCAAGCCATTATGTTAACAACTCTATTTAATTTATTATTATGTACATCCATGCATTCTAATGCTGCCAGATCTAGGCTGCAAAATATGGATGATCACTCGGTGGTAGAGAAGTGTTAAGGTGTTCTGTACTTCTTTGCTGCCATCTAGGAATTGCCTGACATTTTGCAGCCAGTTCTATACATTCTCAGTGTGTTTCTTCAATGTACTGCCAACACCACTATCCACAGGTAGAAACCTATCTACATATGGACTTTCAATACTGCTAGTACCAGCCAAGCTGTTGCAAGAATAGCAAAGCAACATCTTTCTCTAAAGTTAGCTTCACAATTGTTCTATTGCTAAAATTGATTGGAAACATGCTGCAAACAATGAGATCGGCACTGCAAAGCTTTTACATGGTGTTTGACAAGATTTCCCTCACTTTCTTTGTAGGCAGTCTTTGGTGGCAGTCATGTAGTTCATGACTGCCACCAACATGTTATTTTATTTATTTAGTAAGCAAAGTTATTGTTGGTCTAAGCCAATATTAAAATATTGTGTAAGGAATGAAGAATTCATCTGAACTATGCTTAGGTTTCAAATGAACAAGTAAATGTCCTTGCTGCTATATCCTACCACACATAGAAGCTCATAAAAAATGCTTAACTGAAGTTGTCTGTTCAATAAATCACTGTTCTATGAAGGGTGACCCTCAGTGTGTAAGGGCTGTATTTTTAAACAGACAGTGAAATATTGTAAGAAAAGTAATCTTAAAGGATGATGAGCAATGCTCTATGAAACATGGCAGTAGAATATTATTTCTTCAGAAGTTGATGGTAGAAAGCTAAGCAAGCACAATTTACACTAATATTTTTAACATGTTTTTCATGGCGAATATAAGTTTTACACAATTTAAAATCATGTGAAGCAAGGACACACATAATTTAAAGTAGAAACATGGCTGTTATTTATCAAGGTTTAAAGTACCAGCATAAAGTGCTATTCTTTAATGACAGAGGAGTGGGCTATCTTGAACCCTCCAACATGCAAATAATAGATTGTGCAGGCAACATATTCCATAGGCCATTCATTTATATGGATATTGGATTAACCTTTTCTCCCCTTTTGAGGGAAGCAAAATGTTTAAAAGAGACCTTTGTGTTTATTATTTATGTGAGAAGAAATCTAATTTGAAGGTGGATATAGAAGACATTCCACAGCTCAATAAAAGTATGAACTTGGGTCAAGATCTATAAATCAATGGTCCATGGATTTCAGCTCTTAGTAGATCTTCTGACATAGTGCTAAAAACAATGCCATTTGCTAATTCAGGCACATAATTTGGCAAGAAATCTATAGGTGGTAATCTATGGATAGTAATAAAGCTTTAACTCCTATACCAGTAAATTCTCATATATATAAAAGTGTATGGGTTTGGAGATACCTGATAAAGGTTATGCATATGGAGTGTGTATTAATATAGTATAGGTATCTCCCAGTAGGTGGGACACAGGAAAGTATATATATCCTTGCAAGACAAACTTTGTACTAGAGTTTCTAGATTAGGAATGGGAGCAAGTTCAGGGTAAAACTGGATTTTTTAATATATATTCTTTTGCTTGTGATATACTGGCTGAAATTAATTTTAAAAGATTGTTTATGATGAAAGGCAAAATTCATGAAAGATACAAGATGACAAGAGATTCTGAATGGGCCATTATTTTGGTAGTGCCAAGATGTTTTCAAAAGTGGATCTTGTGAAAAAATGGACATGAAAGAAAAAAGGAGAAAAAAACTAATATGAAAGAACAATTGCAGGAAAAGAAGGTGTAAAGAGCTATGCTAATAGAGAATACGAAATAGCACGCTTAGTGGAATGATGAAGTGAAAGAGGCTGTGGATGAAAAAAAAATATGTAACACAATGCTGCATAAATTAAGATTATTGAAAGATATTATTATCTTCCGGGTGCGCTTCAAGGTTTTGGTTACCACCTTTAAAGCGCTCCATGGCTTAGCACCTGGGTACTTGCGGGACCGCCTACTACCACCAATAGCCTCCCACCGGCCGGTACACTCCCATAGAGAGGGGCTCCTCCGGGTGCCGTCAGCCAAACAATGACGACTGGCGGCCCCCAGGGGGAGAGCCTTCTCTGTGGGGGCACCTACTATCTGGAAGGAGCTCCCCCCAGAGATACGGAGGATCCCAGATCTGCACACCTTCCGCCGCGCTTTAAAGACCTTACTATTTCACCAGGCGGGCCTGGCCTAATTTTCTCTCTCTTTTATAAAATATTTTTAATTTTTAAATATCTTTTAGTATTTTATACATTCAATTCTAAATTGGTTTTAAAAGTTTGGGGTTTTAAATTTGTCGGGGCCAAAATTATTTAATTTGATTTTATTCTACTTTTAAATTTTGTATGTAT